TTCTGGCGTATGAACGGTTTTATAAATCTGAAAACTTTTGTGCGTACGCAAATTCTGCCTTATGTGCGTACGCACACTTTAAGGATGAAATCTACGCAAAGTTTTATACATGAGGCCCCTGGTCCTTTGTGGCACCACAAAATAATAATTAGGGATGTCAATTAACAAATTCCCATAATCAATAGTTGTTCAAATGAAGTGTTAATTTACCGATTAATTATTGACCTTAATAAATTAAGCGGTTTCATGGGATCTTCAAAAATGGTTCAAAAAGCAGCACAGGCTCAATTTAACCATACTTGCACTCCACAAACTACCAAGCATCAGTCTTTCAGTGCAGTAGTCGTTCATCCTAATTGCAGGTAGTACTAACACACTTCTGACTGCAACATAAAAACTGCAGCTCTGAAAGGTCATGGACATGAGCTCAGAATGAGCGCCAGACGGACAGAACATGGTAGACAGCTAAAGGTGAAAAGAAAAAAAAACACACATTTACATGGTTTCCAGGGAGATATTCTGCCATCACCAATAAGACACAAGAGATGGTGGGCTGTTGTATCCCGCAGTCCAAAGGGCAACAGGGAGGATGGAAAAAGCTCCTGGCAGTTTCAAAGCAGTGCTGATGTTTAAAAGGATGCCCTGAAATATTCATCTGAGAGCTGATTTGCTGTTCCTACACTAATGGTTAAGATGCATACTCAAACAGAGAAAACCAGTGCTTGAGCAGTGGGTAAGAGCAAATTAAATCATTTGCAATGAGCCTTGGGGTTTAAGTTAGGATGGATGGAGGAGAGATCACAGAATAAACATGCAATGGAGTACAATAGATGGTAGAAAAGCAGCAGAAACTAAGGAGTAGGGTTGGGTATCGAGAATCGAGTATCGATTGGAACCGAGACTAACTTTTCATTTTTCCCGGAATCGTTCAAAAGTTAAAATTTCGATTCCTAGTTTCGATATTCACAGTCCGCCGAGCGGAAGAAGAAACCGCTGAACAACACCAACAAAGAAGCGTCTACCGGAAGTGTTGACATAACCACGTGAGTCGAACATGAGTACCTTACGTCGGCGATCCAAAGTGTGGCTTCACTTTTCCAAAAATAACGAAATCTCGGCAAAATGCAAAATTTGTGACAAAAGGAGTATTTTTACAGGAGTATTTCCTTCAGAAAGGATTATTTCCTTCAGAAAGGCTGTTGGTTAGCAAGGTTAGCTAAACTTTTTTGACCCTGCCTCTTAAAAGAATCGGAATCGAGAATCGTTAGGAACCGGAATCGAAACAAGGAATCGGAATCAGAATCGTTCAAATTCAAACGATAGCCAACCCTACTAAGGAGTATGGGTGATTCAGTTTTTTTAAAATCAGCCTCATGTCATTTCCTCAGAGTAGCACACACAAAAAAGAATGCAAGTACACTTGCCATTCCTTCACATATAAATGACACTAAATAAGGCCCGTGTTCAGGAAGTTCAAAACATCCTGACACCCGCCCTGGTTTTCCTTTATGAGAGAATTAGCTATGTCAAATGTGTGAAGGAATCATTCATTTGAGTTAATTTCCTTCAATTAATCATTTGACAGTTCTCAAAACCTCAATAATTCTTTCACAGATTGGACTGATCTGATTCTCAAGTTGAGCCAACTGAGGGAGTCAACTGACTGACTCGTAGAACAGGTCAGGATTGACAGTCATTAGAGGGGAAAGTATTTAGTGCATAATGGCTTAAAGTCGTAAATATTATGGCCTGTTCATCGTAGCTTCAAAAGACATGGAAGACAGGTTTCATGGTACTTTCTGGCATACATTTTTTTTTAAGCGTGATAGCTATGGCCCCCATTAATTTCTTCTTTTGTGTTCCACCAAAGAAAGTAATAAAGGTTTGGAAAAAAATTAGGGTGTAAGCGATGACAGAATTTTTGGGTGAACTAATCCTACATTACAGATCTACAGATTCAAGTCTGTGTATAAACAATACCTCTGCATTTAATAAAAAAAAATATATATATAAAAATGCAGATAAAGGACAGCCCAGAGAGTAGAGGGAACTGCGCACAGCGGGGTCTGCCCTTTAAAAATCAGTCAATCTTTCTCTGCCGTTGGCTTCAGGCTCCTACAAACACAAATGCAGTTTCAATCACTCAAGACCTGACGAGATCCTCAACGTATCATGGACCCATCCAGTTGGGGTCTATAGGGCATATCTGTGGACAAGACACACATTTGCCCTACAGTTTGGGGTCCATGATACAGGACAAGCCAGAATGATTGTTTTGCCTTCTGAGAGTTGTTTGTTCTCTCATACTGTGTGCGTGAACCGGAAACCACAGTGCCACAATATAAGACCTCTCATTTCCTGTACTCACTAACGTGGGCCGCTCTGCACAATCTCAAAATGGTAGATGGTAACTTCAACTGTACTACGGCACTCTCATGATTTGGTAAAATAAGTTTGAGTTTGTAAAATCCATTAAATAGTTGAACATCAAAATAACAATATATCCTATGAATTTTAGTCCATGCTTCGAGGTCAGATATAATATTTTGGTCAGATATAATATTTCTGTCTCTACCAGAGCAAAAATACTGATATAACACCAAATATTGATATATTTGTGTGCAATAAAATGCTCCTTAGAAGGAAAAAGTCATCTTCCTCAAGTACTATCTGCCTGAAAGCAAAAAGCAAATCAAATTCAAGGCTGAAATGTACATGCCAATTTTTTTTTGCAGTTTTTGTTGATGAACAAATTCAACTCAGTAAATCTGCATCCTAAATCAAGCTAATACTACCGTCAACTCACTGTCAAATATGCGTTTCGAGAAACATGTAATTGTTAATATTGCAGCCTGCACTGCAAACTGTGCTGAAGATACCCATCATTGAAGTCAGGCAACAAAAACCTGTTTCAAAAGTTGAAACAAGATCCCGCATTAGTACATGTAGAAAATAATAAATATACATTTTGCTATTAAGATATTTATCTTCATGAAAAATGACAAATGTGTAAATGTTCCACCTGAGACTTGTGAAATGTTCACCTATTGTCATGATATGTTCTGACAATAAAGAGAAGTTTTAAACCACAATTAACACTCAACTTTGACTCAGAAGCTAAAATCTGCCTTTAAACTTGAAAAAAATAAAAATTTGACATTTATTGTGATAATTATCGATATTGACTGTTATAAAAAAAAAATATCTTGTGATCATTTTTTTTTTTGCCCATATCGCTCAGCCCTGAGTTCAATAGCTCCTTTTCATTCAAACTAGTTCTAGATAACATGATTACAGCCCAGAAACAATGAATGCAACCAGCTGGTGCGTGAGAGTACGTGAAAGCTCATTTTTAACCCATGGTAGTAGAAGAACATTAGCAAGATTGAAAAATGTGGTTGCCCTTGTGTGTTTATAATGGATGTTAGAGCTGTACTTCATGGAAACATGGTTATTTAGTGGAGTTTCGTCCCAGGAGGAACATGGATGCATGCAAATAATTAACCTGAATTGCCAAAGGTGGTCCACAGTGTTTGAGCACTTTCAATCTAACTAAGGGTAGAGGAATGGTAAAAAAATAATATCTACAAAAGGTACCATCAACAACATAAAATCTCAATAACTATATACAGCTGAATCCAAAACAGCAATAATGAGAAATCACACGGGATACATTTTTCTTCCATTGACTTAAGGAAAGCAACCGTTTACCACAAATAAACCAAAAAATAACACAAATGACCCACTGGGTACTGCAGATTTGATTTGGATTGCACTCAAGTGACCCCTCGCTCACCTAGCTAATAAAAAGACCTTACATGAAGTTACAACATGCAGTACGCAATCCCACAAAGGAATATGTTGCATTATCAATAAAGGACTAAAATTGCATTTTAAAGAAGTACATATGTATGTGTGGGATGAGAAAAATAAATAAAATAAGTTAAACAGTCCTTTGTTATCGCGCTTCACTATGCTCGTCGCATAATCTGCAAGTAAGCCTATTTGTCCTTGCGCAATAGTCATGTGACTGACTCCACTGAATGTAGGTTATCCCCTCATGGAGCAGTCTTAGTCTGTGTTTAAAGAAAAAAAGAAAAACCAGGAAACATTTCTGACTCACTGGGCTATTGAGACACCATACAACAACAATGATACAGCAAAAGAGACCCCTTGAAGACCTGTCGCGATGGAAGAGCCGATGTTTAACGTACAAGTAGAGCAAAATTAGGCAAAAGTGGTATTTATCAAAGCTATACACGTTTTATGTGCCAATGCTTTTAACAAAGATCTAGAGCGGCCCCATAAAGATGATTACTTTCATTGTGCCTGGAATATTTACTGGGTTTGAGCATTGGGAAAATTAGGAGTAATTACTGGGAAGATAGGAACAAAAATAAATAACCCATGCTAAAACAAAAAAATATATATAACAAACATCAACCGGAAGTAGAAGTTAAACAGTGCTTATCTTTGCCTTCCACTTGTCCAGTGTGTTCTTAACCAGAGGGTTGGGATGGGTGAAAACAGGCCCAATAATTTAATAAGAAAGTGTGTGAATGGATTTAAGGAAGTGACTTTTGCCATTTGAGTGCACACTTTGCCATTTGAGTGCATTTAAACAAGGCTCAACCCTTGGGAAGGGAACGACTGGCTTGCTACATGTAAGAGAGAGTGCGGGGCGAGTGTCCATGTGTAACCAGGATAGTAATGATATTCAAGAGATGGACACATACTTTAATTATCAAGAAAATTCCTCTGTAACAAAAGCAAATCAATGTGATTTTGAACTGAAAGAACAAATCTGCACTTACAAATGCAGATATGTAAAACAGCCACTGACTAAATTTACAATCAGTCAACAACATCTGCATCATGATTCATTAATATGTGAAAACGCAATGGTTTTATGAAACACCCAGCCTGCATCAGAACTTATACTACATCCTTAAAGCATCTAGATTCACATTATCAGAGGTATAATGAAGGTCGGTACTCACAGAGGAATGTGACGTTGCTCAATGTCGACCCGAGCCAATTCATCTTCCTCCACATCAGTTTCTCCACCTGAGCTGCTTTCCGTAGCATCGGAATCGAAAGCACATTCAGCAGATTGCAGGTTGGTGGTACAACTCAGGGACAGTCGTTCTAATTCGGCCGGCATAGATCCAGACTTCAGGAAACGTCCCAGTCCGTCCCTCTCCTGAGGGGTGAGGGCGTCGTCATCATAACGGCCTCTTGGCCGTCTGGCATCCAGAGCACCCAGCGTGCTCTTGAGTAGTCCCCCCAACTGTTGCTGCACGTGGCGCTCCACCTGCTTGGCCTGCACCACCTGCAGCCGTTTGCGTAGTCGCCGTAGCCGTGCCTCGATCTCCCCTTGTCTGCTCTGGCTGTGCTGGGTACGATCGCTTAGCTCCACCCCAAGGTCACCTAAGGGGTCTTGCTCGGTAGCGAGTGAGAGCGCCAACGGATCTTCACTGCTTAGCGGAACACAGTCTGAGATTTTGTCCACTGTGAAAGGTGTAATGGAGGTTGGGGATGTTGCAGGAGGTTCTCCATTGGTGGGACAATTCTGGGACTCACCCGTTGACAGCTGGTGCTCCTCCGCACCGTCTCGAAGAGGACCATTCGTTGTCAATCCCCTGGTAGAAATGACAATTTGATTCGGATTTGACAAATCCTGCCCGACAGCATGTTGACCACCATTAAAGGTTACTGGATTGTCTCGTTCAGTCGGTTTAGTCACTTTCTTTGTCATGCCATTGACAATGGTGCCTTGGACGGTGGGCGGCCCACATGGCCCACCTCCTCCACCGGCACTCATGATGCTCTTTAGCTGCTCTTCAGAGAGCTCTAAAGCCTGGTGCTTGCGTGGTATGAGGTTTGGCAGGATGCTGTGCGTCTTCAGTAAAACACCTTGCAGCTTGAGAGACTCTTTTGCTGAGGACACAGAGGTCACATCTGAACAGTGATATGAGGTAACGAGGGGCTTGCAGGGGCCGGCCCCACGAGAGGGGCGCTCCTCCGAGGCCTTTCGCTTGACTACGCCGTTACTGGACACGAGGATATGGTTGGTGGTAACACTTTCCTCCACGCCACTCGGGGAGAGGGTGGAGGAGGGCGGAGCCAGTTTGAAGCGTATGCGGTGAGTTTCGGCCGGCGCGTCGGTTAAAGCGGGCGCCATTGCAGCCATGCAGCGCTGGGAGGGGGCGGGCGAGGGGGCCTCTCCCGGTGCCGAGGCCAGCTCCACACCACCCACCCACCACTGTTCCAGGGGGCAGCCTGAAAATAACACAAGACAAAGAAACATCAAGTCAAATTTAGCAGTTCATTTGTTCTATAACAGGCCAAACTGGCCTTAAAAAAAATCTGTAGCCATTTGAAATTAGAGGCAGCCAATGCATTTTAATCACAATCCAAACAATTGTGCTACACACATGTAGCATGAGCAGTTGGCGCTTTTGGAAAAGAAGCACTTCTTTGGGTACCGCTATAAACAAAGCAGCGCTGCATATTTTTTACGGTAGGTAAGACGGGAAACGTAGGTAAGACGGGAAACGGTATTTTTTACGGTAGGATAAAAAATATAAATAATGGATAAAAAAATCCCTCAAAATTATTCTGAAGACAGTCAGTTTCCTTCAGAGATCCATTCATAATTCTCTCACATGCATTCATAATTCTCTTTCATTCTTAACTAACGACGAAAGAAGAGCCGTGGAGAGCCGCTTTGCCCAGATTTGCTTCCCCCGGTCTGCGTTTTCACCAGACATAACGTTCTTTTCCCACACAAAAACAGAATTTCAACCCAAATATGGAAAATTTCACGAAATTCCCCATTAACACTAAATTCTGCGTTAATTGGCCAATTCAGCAACTCCGTCCGCGATTCAGTGATCGCTGAAATCATAGGGCCCTACAAATGCTGCCAAATAAATTCACACAGATTCAATTTCAGGACCATATGCAACCAAAATGGTCACAATTTCGAGCCTTGATATCAATATAAATGGTATGCCTCATGTGTCATTTATAAAAAAATAGCCTATATTGATATATTACACAAACTTGATAACAGTAAATGTGTGATTTGCATTTTAACAGACGTACTATCCAATTACGACTAATTACGACTCCAGGTGAGGACCAGTGCTTAACAGCAGACAGTATCAATATAAGTCAAACCTTAAGAGTAAAAAACAAAGAGCCAGACACAAGGACAGAGACTGTTTTATGTAGGCCAACTAAATGGATATGAGCATATTTCTACATGAAGTAGGCCTAACTGAGAAACTACAGCCTTCAGACAGAGACAGCAGACAATATTTAGGCCTATTCTGAGTGACTTTGAATGCAGGTTGAAGTTGATAGAACCAAAAACTAATTCTGTAACAAACCAATTCATTCTGCACTGTCAAAACCCTTTAGGTGTAAACCATTATTATTAAATCTAACGAGCTGATGTGCCATGCCTTAACGGATTTGGTGAATATTTTGAGAGTAGAGACAATTAATTCACAAATAGACTTAGGTTCTTAAGACATAAAAATGGAGTAGGGTGACACACTACAGCAACATGGCTCAATGCTGAAATGCCCTCCTTGTCTTGTAAGATGACATTACAATAAACTACATGGGGAAAAAGGCAGCTAAACTGCCTCCATTCAAAATGAAAACAACTACTTTGAATTTGAATAGATCATCCCAAAATGACATGCAGATTAACACAACACTAGTTGGCATTATCCATGCAGTAACAAGTAACCAAGCTTTCAAAAACAAAGCATCATGAAAGATTAAATTAATTATTCAGACTTGTAGTGAAATGGAGCAGTTGGTTATTTGATGATAAACGCTGACAGAATGTTAACTTTTGAACAAACTATTCCTAAGCAGTTTGTTTAATGCAGGGCTTGACAATAAGGACTGTCTGATGGCCCGAGGCTAGTGTGAACAACGCTCAGGACACTTGCCCGATCCGGCCAGTGTTGTAGGGGTGTGCAATATATCGTCTATGATATTGTGTTTGTTGATTTAACGATCTGACATTAAATTACAAGTGAATTATTTAAATTATTGAAGCGGTACTAACTGCAGTGGAAAAGCAAACTGAGCTAAACTGTACTGAGCCGTACCACGCAGTGGAAAAGTGCCATAACGTGCTGGTCATTAAATGGCTTTCCTGAGGTAAATGTAACATTCTGTGACATAATTGTCTTATTGACCTCTTTACGTGGTTGAAACACTAATTGATCAATATTATGGATATTAAGTTCAGTCGCTCGCTCTACTTTGCTTATTAAAAATGTGACATTGCCTCAGAAGTCTGTCCAATGTCAGTTTCGTGGGAAACGTTAGTGCGCAAATGCTGTCTGCCAAGTCATCGCCTGATAGGGCGGCAAGGCAACAAGTCACTGCCAGGTTCAGATGCAGACAACAAGACAGAAAAATGCTTCGTTCCTGATCAGCCGTTTGAATGAATTGGTTGAATCTCAAATGACTCCCTCATTAACTGTTAGGGGTGGTTAATGTCTGATTTCCCCATTTGATTACGATTATTGAAGTCCCGATTCGATTACAGTCGATTTTCAATTATTAACAATTCTTGATTAGCGATTATTGATTTTCCATTTCACAACAGTAAACGAAAATACACTAGACAAACAAGATTATATTAGCAGCAACATCTTGGTATTAATTGCACCTTTTATTTGGTTGATATCCAATGAAATTGTAATGATGTTTAGTGAGGACATGCAATGCTTGTTGTCTACTACTTGGGCAACCGATTATCTTTATTTTTTTTTTTTTTTTTTAAAAAAAGCAATTTTGTTCCCCTATAATGCTTTGCACCTGATTCTATTAATTGACGGCATTAAAATGCATTTTGTGATTTCCTTCAATTGAAAATCTTTGAAACAAGTTTGGGGGACTTGAAGAGCACCCAATTCAGAGAATCACCCAGAAATTCAAAACAAAAGCATTTATCTGAAATAGAAAGCTTTTGTAACATTAAACAATACCGTTCACTGTTCCAAGTTTGGAGACGGTAATCAATACTTTTATTCATCAAGGATAAATTAAATTGATCAAAAGTTACAGTGAAGACATTTATAATGTTACAAATCCATTATCTGAATATTTTGTGTGTGTGTGAGTGTGACTATAAATACTTTGCTTTAAAAGTACAAAGTAATGACCCATAAAGAATTAGCCTACAATATATTTTATTAACATTGCAAATAACCAACAGGAGAATAAATGTGTGCCTGAACTAGAAGAATACTTGTAGTAAATTAATAAAACAATGACCGGTACAGCCGAGTGTTTTTCCTCCTCTGGCTGGAAACGTGTAATATGGCTTCTCAAAGGATATGATTTCCCCGATAATGAAATCGCGGACGGAATCGCAGAATTGGCCAATTAACGTGGAATCTAGTGTTAAAGCGGAATTTCGTGGAATTTTCCATATTTGGTTTGAAATTCTGTTTTTGGGTGGGAGATGAACGTATGTCTGGTGAAAATGCAGACCAGGGGAAGCAAATCTGGGCGACACAAACCCCTCAACCCGTTATTTCAGCTCCAATGATGAAATCAAAACAATGAAAGCATGGCGAAGCGGCTCTCCACAGCTCTCCAGGATTCTGCTTTTGTTGGCTAAAAGTTAAGAAACTCGACGCTATAAGCCGTCAGTGCCGAGCCGAGCAGTTGTCGCACGTGACTTATGCAGTGTTTCCCACACCCACACATAGACAAATTCGCCGCCACATACTGCGTTTCCGTTTAACAGTATTTAAAACACGCAGAGTATTCCTTCAGTTGTATTTCTCCGCTCTCCCGCCGTCTCTCTCACTCACGCACACAAACACACGACGTGCACAACGCGTCTGTCTATGAGGCGCCGGACTGGACAAAAGCGAAGTGGACTCTGTGAGACAGAGTGTGACTTTATTTAAACTTATATAAACTAATATAATTTATATAACAGGACAGTTTAAAGCTCATAACCATATTTTGTTGTTACTTGAAGAGTGCAGTGTTATGTTGCATTATGCAGTATTTGTCCTGAAAAGGCTACGGAGTAAATGTCTGTATTACCTCAATAAATTTAAGGTCATTTCTAATTTATTTGTATTTTTTAATCATTAACTTTAAAAGCATTATTTTTACAACTAAAATAACAGTCAAGGGTAAAAAAAAAAAAAAAAAAAAACTAATTTATAAACGGAATTTGGGAAAAAATAAAACGGATTTCTTAGGGCCTAGATTCTCATGTGTGTCAAGTTTCCTTCGTTAGTTTTATTCTATAAAGCTTACAAATAGCGTGGCTCTTGACCAGCTCCTTTCCCCCTTCAACTTCAGAAGCCAAAACATTTCCACACGTGAGCTTTTAACCTAACAAGGAGGGTGTTCGGATTTAGCGCTCAGCCATCGCGTCTCTAGTCGATTACAATTTCTGTACCTGAAAATTTCCTTTGTAAACCTACAGAAAAACCTGAAAAGCACTGTTTATTTCATTTATAGGTTTGTTCTGTTACATTTATTTGTGCTATTCCTCTTAATTTGATTATCTGTTCCTATTTTAATAGTTTAAACTAGTAGAATCTGATACGATAATCTGTAGAACCATCAAGATAATCGGACATAGCTAGGATTGTCGGAAGGGGGGAAAATCGGCCCAAAATCACGCCGATTATCTTTTTGTGTGTACCCAGCATAATATTTCCACTTCACTTCGGCTTTCTGTACAACATATTTCTTCACATAGCCTAGCTTCTACATAATAGTGGGAAAACTACATAATACAAATTTAATGTTTACCTCTAGTGTGTGGAAAGAGATGGATAAAAGACAGATTTAGGTTGGGAACTAAACAATTGAAGAGGCAATTTCTAGCATTCCACTTCAACAATGAGTCTTCTCAAATAATACTGTTATTTTTCACAGCACAGAAACAGTGTACACTTATGGCGCTTTTCCATTAACAGTACCGGCTCGACTCGGCTCACCTCGCTTTTCGCTCTGTTTTTCATTGCAGACAGTACCCCCACAAATAGTACCCGGTCATCATAGCGACACCTTTCGTTCCTCGTTGCCCCATCAAGCTCTCGCTGGATCCTCTCTTCGGCAACCAAAGAAAGAAAAGTCTGCACCTCCTCGTTTGACCGCAGCGTATTCTTTTAAGTTGCCATAATAATAGTACTAAGTTTAGCAACTATCTCTGGCCAAACTATTTAAAAATGGCAGAGTTATTCTGGATACTCCACCAGTGAACAGTGATG